ATACACATATATATATGTATATATATATATATATATATATGTATATATATTGTATATCTTTCTGTCTCTTATCTTTGTCGGTCAGTTTTATCTCTCTTTTTAGTTTTTTGTCAATATTTTTCTCTCTCAACGCCTTCAGATGCCTAGTTAATCCCCCTTTTTGTTACTTCCCGGCTTTCCCATCGGCCTCAAGCCTCGAACCTGAAGAGAGATTAACGAGGTACGAGCAAAAAGAATGAAAGGGAGAATGGGAAAGAGGGGTGAAATAAATAAGCGGCGAGGGTAGAAGGGGGGTTCGGAAAAGAGAGGGATTTGTGCCACGGGGGAAATGCCGGCGGCGTTTGGCGGACACGGAAAAGGGGAGAAATGACTTCCGTGGATTTTTCTCGCTCGAAAGCCGATGCTGTTCTAACCCGGAGGTGCATAAACTTCATCCTTTTAGTAATATTACCCGACCGGTATGAGAATCGTGTAATTTTGCACTCGCATACGTGCCGAGAGAGAGGGCGAGAGAGACGTAATGATCGAGAATTTCTCGGAGTAAACGTACATTTTCAAATATTTTCCTTTGACTTTATTTCGCTTCTTGATTTCAGTATTATAATGAACATTCACTTCTCTTAGATCAGAAAAGTAGTTGTATGCACTCCAATTCGCAGGTGCAGAAAAATCCGTGGGAATTATTTCTCTCTTTCGTCGTTCGTTGCATAAATTAGGAACGCCCGAAAGTGATTTTCCGGCACGATGATCGAATTTCCTGTATTGTTTCCTCTATTGTTTTCTAGATCTCTCTTGTCCTGTGATGATTCATTTTATTCTGAAAATCCACCCCTTTCCCTTCTCTTTTCCGGTCATTCTCTCTCATTAAGCTCGTACATGGACACCGAAAACCACATCGAAGCTGCGGGCTCGTGAATAGTTAACTGCCGCCTCGTTAATTACCTTTCCAGGTTTTTTTTCTACCCACGATGTAATGCGATCCGACAGGAGTTGTACGAGGATACGGGGGTGTCTATTTTAACTTTTGTGTTACCTTCCCCGACTTTGCGAATTTTTTTAACATCCTGTAGTTTCTTTACGATATCTCGTAAAGCGTGTCTTTCACGAGAAGGACCTGTAAGACCTTTCGTGCTTCCCTCGCCGAGATATTTAAGGAAGAAAATCTATCTCTTAACCATTTCCCTGTCGAGTTACATGTCTGAATTTTTCATTTCTTCTCAAATGTCTCGTATTTCATCAGAAAATACGCGATCCCTAGTTGAGATTTATCAAAAGAACGCGTATACTTTAGAACAAGTACTTGCCGAGTTACGACCCATTTATGACTTACCTGGTACTTTCCTAAAATATTTTTCAAACTCGTCTGAAATTGTGGTTTTATACGTTTTGTACGAAAAAATTAAAGCAAATTAATAATATCTTATCACCTATTTTTGAATACGAGTATGATTCTTCGATATTTAAAAAAAAAGAAATGTTTTTTTTACTTTTTAAAAAAGTTTATATTTCAGTATCTACCGATATTGATGCCGATATTGGCATGTCACTTTGTATCGGGATATTTTCAGCTTCTTTTATGATACGGTATTATCGAAAAATCGCGTAACAAGAGTTGAAGTACCATATCCAATTTCGTTTGCTTCGAGCGAGATCGATTTCCTTTTCGAAATTTCTTTTGCCATTTTTCTTTAAATCTCCATTCTGTAACCAAAGGATCCCGCACTAAATATATGGAAAATTGGGTGAAATGAATTAGTTTTTACATATAATGCAGTTTATAGTAATAAACAAAAGATGTCATAGACATAAGGCTGAATAGTAGACAGTTTTTAAATTATGGTATACCAAAGGTGCTTTTGAGTAGAAGTTTTACGCCTTTCTGCATTATTTCTCTTAATTGATTTATTCTCGTCGGTCTAATACAAATCATAATTGTTTTTATATCTTTGCTACACCATAATCCAAAAAGACTGAAAAAAGAAGTGTTTAATTTCAAGATATGAAAATGTTTTATTCTTGTCTGCATTTTTTAAACACTTAAAAATGTTTTAGTTTTAAACTTTTTCAATAGACACAACACTATGTGTTTGGATTTAAAATACTATGCATTTTAAATCCAAACACGTAGTGTTTTTGTCCATTGAAAAAGTTTAAAACTAAAACATCTTCAAATGTTTAAAGCATGAGGTCAAGAATAAAATACTACTTTTTACAGTGAGAACTCTCCATTATTGAGCTTTGTGTTTATGACATTTTTTACTCGCCACATAAACTACATTATGTATAAAAATTAATTTATTTTATCAGGACTTAATTTTTCATATATAATAATTAGTGCAGGATCTTTTCTTCGAACTTTATTTTTAATTTCCTTGAGTTATTAAAATTTCATTTCTAAAATTTTCGTGCCACACGATCTTCTTCCAGTCTGGAAGCGCGATCGGCACTCCGGGCGATTTGGTCGAAGAACGTAAATTATGTGCGTCACGTAATGTTGCTGCTTCCGTGAACGACTAACACTCATATCCCAGTCACGCTTTCTTTTCCCTTACACCTTGTATATTTCCCATAAGTAATTCATTCCGTCTCTCTTCCTTGCGGCGCGAGAGTTGCACGGAGTTTCAAGTTCGTTACGTCAATCTAATTGCGACGGTTTCTGTCTCTCAACCCTCTGAATTTCAAGTATTTTTCATTTTAAGTGATCTCTCGGGAATCTTTAGCGTCTCTTTCGGCGCAATCGTCGCCTGCCATAAAGAATTTTATTTTCCAGAATTATATGGCTTTCGCGCCTTCTCGTTTTCTTGTTAGATGTTTACAAGCACGCAAAAGAATCGGTAATCAGTTCTGTAAGATTTTGCTTGAAGAAAAATTTTAGTTAGATTCAAATACGACTCGTCGAGAATAACGGACGATTAAATGTATGAAAAGCAATTTTCATCGGGGACACATAGGACCGTCTGAGAACGCGATGAAAAGTCGGTAGCTTCGTGAACTCCGCACCGCACGTTGATCTGTTTCCTCACCGTGTCCAACTTCTCTCCAGGTCCTCCCCAACTTTTCTTATTTTTCTTTCTTTCCGATGTTTCTGTCTAAAGAGTAAATGGCACCCAGAGATTCGACACGGTTCATATAAAATTCCGTTACGCCTTAATCTGTAAGATGCCATCCTCTCCTCTTTGATTAACACGTAATGGAATATTAATGATTTCGGGTCGAAATTGAACGCCACCGATCCCCTTCGATAAGTAATCTCGATGTCTTTACTTTTTCTCTTTTTTTTCCTCTTTTTCTTTCGTTTTCTCTTGCTTTTTCCATCTGCGTCTTATATATTTTTTTTTTTTTCCTTTCGACACGGCTCCTCGCAGTACCGAGGCGCGGCGAGCAATGCGTAACCGATCGACAGAAATCTCTTCTCTTCGTGTAGGAAAAGGAGGACGGACCGGTGTACAAGTTTTACGAGACCATCCGCGATTTCGGGGACGACATTATGACAACCATCAGTCATCTGCATGACGTTACCCTCTTCGCGCCCAGCAACGAGGCGCTGAACGAGCCGAACGTGAAGCAAATGCTGCAGGACAAGAACCGCATGAAGGAAATCCTCAAACTCCACTACGTCAAGGAGCGACTAACCCTCGACAAGATCAAGGATAAGAGCGTCAGCCAAGTAAGTCAGTTTTTCTCTTTGCGTGCGAAATTAACATGAGATTGTAACAAAAAAAAATCAGGCTTCGTCTTCGAGTCACTTGTGTCCCTAAATAAAATTATTGTGCCTGAAATGTTAACTGCGCTTAAATACTCTAATCATATTTATGTGGGCTTAAATACATGTTTAATTGCCTAAACGTATAATCGTAAAATGTAAGATTCATCTCGCATCAAGCTTAATTTTTTGTTAAATTTAAATAACAAACATTGTTTTATTTTAAGAGAGAGACTCTTCTCTGCGTATTTTCATCAGAAGCTCGACATATACATCGATATAATCATACACGTGGAGGTATATTATCACATTGATTAACCCAGCCTTTCTTTTTGTTTTTCCAAAGAAAGCAAGAGACTTCGTCGGGAAGTCACAAGTCGGGGTAATTACAGATTCATACATCTTTCAATGTTCTCTACTTTTTTTTTCTTTTTTATGCGTGAAACTGTTCGCAAACTCTATCTGCATCCATTCGCACTGTCCGCTTTCATGCGTTTCTCCATGTTGAATGTATTACGAGCGCGAAACGAATGCGAGCTAACATTTCCAACACTAACACGCTGCACCAGGGCATTCGGCAATCGATAGCGTCAATAAATCTCTTCCCGCCAATAGCTTTAGTAATCGAACGCCAAAGAGATTTCTATTCTTGCCGCGATACAACGGTATACAAGGTGACCGGAAAGTTACACTGAAATTTGAGCGAGATTTAACGAGTCGCTGCTTGACAATAAATTTTTATTTCACAATTCCCTTAAAGGGATGCTGGAGCGACGACCGAACTTGATTGATGTCGATAAAATAGATTTTTATTTCCAAATAAAATGTTATGTGCATTAAGTAAAACATACATTTCTTACTCTGCTATATCCTATATATATATCATAAATGCTATATTCACTCATACTAAACATAAAAAATTTTGATAATTTTTGGTCCAATGAATGATCGTTAATCAATGTCCGACTTAATGCCCAGTTAATTCATTGACGCAATAACTGAATTTATTTATATAACTACATAAATATTCATTCTTGCAATGAATTCTAGTAATAGTTTTATAACCTGAATCATTATGAAAATTTATTGGACCAATTTTCATTAATTTAATTAATATTTTATTGTATTTACGTATAATTTTTTAGTATAGATCGTACTTTTCCATTCACTTCTCTTGTAAGCTTCGAAATCATAATTTGAAGGTCTCATTATATCTTATAAATTATTCAAATGTGGGGGAACGACTTTTTGTTGAATATATACTTGCAATCATTTATATATATGTGACGAAACAATTATTAGCAACATGAAATTATAATTTCTTTTTACATAGATTTGTTTTCTCACAGCTATTTTTCTTTCATGCTGAGGAAGGATTTTTCTGTAAGGAAAACGAAAAAAAATGGGAAAGTACGAAAATGTGCGTTTCGTCAGTATTATACAGACGACTCCAGCATCCTTTTAAATCCTACATTTCTCGGTGTGTATCAAAGAAAACAGGCCCACAATTACCACTTCTTCTATTTTCTGCCTGAAACTTCTGGTTTTGGATCGAATCCTCAGCTGACAGAACAGATTTCATTACTTTTTTTTTTAGCGAATGCACTAAAAGACAATAACAACTTTGTGATTATTGATCTCTGACAAAATAAAGGGATCTTTGGCAAAAAATATGGCAACCGTGATCCACAAGAACGTCAAGCGACTCGTATCGTTCGACGAGAGGCTCTTTTCCGTCACCCCGTATACCAGGAAACGCACGATTCGAATGAAATTGCGGAGAGATTCGACAGTCCGCGGAATGGATTTCTGCCGTTCCGTCGACAATAGGATGTAACGATAATTGCGTATTTTTACGAGAAGTCGAGTTTCCCTTCAGGCGACAGCGGGGATGAACGAAAGCGAACTCACCTGGTTGGGCGCGATAAGAAAATTCGGCTTCCTCGGATTAAGTGGATTGGAAGATAAAAAAAAAAGTTTCATGCGGGAGGAAAGAGACGCCTGACGTCATAACAATGCACGGAGACTGTTCCGCTCTTATAAACTTTGCTCAAAGTCGACTGGCACGCCGGTTCGTTTTCCCACTTTTCGAGGCTCATTATCATCCAATCAGCATGGCGGAACTTTTCGTCGGAATAACAAAAAGTTCTCGGCAATTTCCCATCGGCTCCTGAATTTCCACTACCTCGCCTTTCCGCCCCTGTAGTATTTCCCCCTCGCATTTGCCTTCGCTTATTTTTACTGAATCGAGACCGTCTTCAGCGACGATGAAATTGCAATCGTCCCAAGTCCTCCTCATCCCCGTTTATACCATATTTGCGACGATCATGGAACGGTCGTGTGCATGGCAATTTTTTTTATTGATCTCGTAATTGCTTTAGCGTTTTGAATTTTTCGATCGTCCGCTTATCACCTTTTTTTTCGCACCGACGTTCTGTAAATAGGATCGCAGCAACGTCGTTATCCGCATTATCAATCATATGCGTCGCAAAGCGTTTTCCGCGTAGCCTGAAAACGTCTCGTTAGCGCACGCGAGAACTCAATTATATCAGGGAAAACCGGCAAATACCGATAATCGCAATGCGTCGGAAAAATCAACAGAAGACGTGTAATCGCTCATACGGCGTCGTTCTTTGTCGGCACGCACGATTTCATGCATTAATCTTTAGCGACATCCACACAGAAGAAAAAGATTTGTTTAAACAAACTAAAAACTTCGTTGATACAGCAAATTTACAGTTGTAATATACGAATAGCCAGTTTTCTACGTTAAAGTAACAAAGTTGTACTGCTGAATACAATTAGCGATGAAATGTCACTCCAAGAGAGTGAAAATGCAACCACTCTTGAAAAAAATGACCATCTTCACTATTTTTAGAGTCACTCACTTTTTTCGAGTGAGATTTTATTCCTTTGAGGTGAAAATTCATTCTAAAAATGAAATTTCACTCTAAAAAGAGTGAAAACTGGCTCTTTTCAAGAAGTGAAATATCTTTACTTTTTTTTTTTTTCAAGTGTAATTGTATTTTCATTGTCTTGGAGCGAGATTTCACTGTAAGAAATTTAGAGTGTAATGAAGAAAAACTTGTTACATTAAGCAATTTTCACCGTAGCAAAGAGTTAACTGAATTAGTGATAATATTCATAATTGCTTAAAGACTTAATTTTTTTGTTGAACCATCAAACCTTATGCGTTGCGGTGTCGTCTACAATACATAGAGTAAGAAGTAAGATTAAGAAGTTAACCAATCACGGTCGATTTATTTTTCTCACATTTCACCGTGATTGGTGAATTTCTTACTTCTTACTTCGTGCATTGTAGACGATTGTAGATGTTAAACTCGCGCGGGAGGCTATAGCTTTGCTGAACTGTCAAATTTATTTTATTTATTTTTTTTTTTATGCATAGCGAACACGTAAAAGAAACGTAAAAGCGAAAGAGAGGACGCGCCGTTTCCTGCGATACGAATTTACGCGAGAGCTGAGGGACCGTTGGGATAATTCTCGCGCAAAACCGATAAATTCCTTCTTGAAAACGCCCTCGTATGGCCACGGCTGAGTTTATTGGCTTTGCAACATTGTTTGCAGATTTGCTTGTTATCTATACGCACTGTCGAATTTATAGGGTGCCGCCGCGGTGCGACGCGTCTCGCAAATCCATGATGAAAAATCATGCCCGGCTGATTGCGCCTCGCGGGTTTACGAAAAAAAAAAGGGAGGGAACGAAAACGTAGCCAGAATCACGGACGAATTGCATCACGCAAATGTTCGGTCGGAAAATACACCGACGTGGTATCATGATGGAAACTCTCGCGATATCGCTTTACAGTTTCCAAACAAACGGAATCAGATATATAATGATCCGTTTTGCTAATATTCGTATACGATGCTATAAAGGAACGACGCCAATTCTGATTAAAGCGCTTTCCAGTTTTCGATCAAAATTTTTCCTTTCCATAAATCATATTTGAATTAATCGAATATCTTTACGGCTGAGATCAATTTAATAATAATTAACTTTAGAACGCTATTGATACATATATATTTTACATGCAAATGAGCGTCATTGAACGCTAAATTACGTCTTTAGTGATCATCATGTTAAATCTGTCCAATCTATCATGTTAAAAAAAAGCTAGGACGAGCAGAAAAACAAGATTTTAAAAATTCGATCTATATATTATATAAAGCGTGCCAAAAGCAAAACGTTGTAAGCGCCATTTTCTAAATTAAGAAAGTAACACAAATATTATGTAAAAGAAATTAACAAAAGAAAAGATAATACTGGCTGAATTTATAAGTAAATTCTGTACATTTTTTTTTTAAATAAAATTAGTTTTTATGATATGTTAAATTGATAAGTATTTTATTTATCTTATACTGTTAGAAAAAATTTAACTTTAATCGCACGTTCCAAATGATCCACTCAAATTTTTGATAAATTTAACACTAGATAAATATGTTATGGAAGATTACAAATATTATGTAAGAGAATAAGCATAAAAAAGAGAATATCGGCACAGTTTGTAAAAAAATCTATATGGAAGTATATTTTTTTCAGTAAAGTTACCATTTATGATACGTTAAATTAATATACATTTCATTCATCCGTCTTAGAATTGACGTTTTAAAACACTTTATTTTTACGTTATTTGTTTACTTACTCATAAATTGCGTCATTTTGATACAAAAAAAATGTAGAATACCAAAATCTTTAAATAACATAACCCATATTATATTAAATCAATACTCAAATAATTTAACTCATAATTTTAACAAGAACAGATTGTTTCCAACACAAATACAAAACATTTTTTATTGTGTATATATACATAATTTACATATCAATAGCAATACTCAATATCGGTAGCGCATTTTAGGATTAAGTCGCAACTTTCTGAGTGAAAAATTCCAGTGATATTATGTAACAAATTCTCTCCTATCGAACGTTATTCCTAAAAAGTTCCTTGAACTCTCGCTACTTTTATCGTAGTTATAAATAGCGAATCGGGCCGTAAACCAGAATAATCGAGTATTACCTTCTTATTTCACGAAGTGTGCTCTGCGAGCGCTTGAAAGCGGGATAGCGTCTAATATCCTGCGGGAAAACTTGTGGAGCGGAAGAAATGTAAAGCGCGTCCCGCGCTTTCCAACGTTTCCTTTCCGGCGTCGACAGAACGCCGTCCGTTTTCTCCGTCGTCGTGGTATACGTCTCCACGGTTGTAGTATCCGTAACCGATACGCGTTTCCGATATATAATATGTATTATTTTCGAAACTCCCGCGCTCTTCACGGTTAAGTTTCCGAAACTTCTGCATCCAGATGGTCGCGGGGAATTCAATTCCGACACACAACTTCGCGGCAGCCGCGAGAGGATATTCC